AAATGAGATGATGATGATGAGAAAAGCTGGTGTACTCATTCTCTCTATCATTATCTTTGATTTTGAAAATGCTCAGAGCAGGTGTCATACTCTGCCATTGCTCCCTCAGGGAGATTCAGGCTCCAGGTCTTTCCTACCTGAGGATGTGGAATAGTAGAAGACATAGACACCAAAGGCCACTGACATCGTGTTATGGCTGAGAAGCCAGTCTGGGCAAGAAATGAACATGCTAATATAATATTTCTAAGATTTGTTCCATCTTTTTTTCATGAAAAGAAAACCATCCTAGACAATTTCTGGATCACTTTGCTTTCAGTATGGCGTTCAGGTTTCCCCTCCTTTCTGTTCCTTCTCTCACTTGCATCTGCTTCTACCAGCTATTGCCCTGGATGTGTTGTTAGAATCTGCCTCTGTGTGTGTATGGGTGTGTACATGCATGTGTGCACACATCTGCATGCTAATTATACATGTCAATGCTTATGTGTAATCTTGAACTTGGACATTAGCACTCGGATGATTCTCTAGCATCATTTCTTTTGAATTATGAGGCCCTGCTTCCCACCCTTCTTTTCCTCCTCCTCCTACACTGCTGTTTTGTGCCTCTGTTGCAATGGGGTCGTGTTGTGTACTTTATGAAGAGGAAGCCAGGGACCTTCAGGGGGAAAGCAAGAGGTTGCCAGTGCTCACCAAATACAGATGCTCAGGAAATATGGGGCTCATGTGACTCACACAGAGGGAACTTTTCAACTTCAACACTGTGTCCTGTGGGGCGGGGGGCCCTGCATTCTTCAGTGTCTCTCAGCCTGCCTGACTCCAAATGTCCCTTGGAATAATTCAACTTCTTATCTAAGGTACAGGCCAGCTTCCTTAAAACACCAACTGCTCTCTTGCACAACAAATCAGTTATATAAGAGGATCTTAAGAAAGAATAAAATCCTGCACTGCATAACTGCCTCTCTCTGGGTTTCAGCCCCAGGCTCCAGCAAAGGGGCCCGGTTGGGGGCAGTGGTCCATTTGTAAACAGAACCTGCAGAGTAGCCAGTTGGCCTTGTTGAAGGGCGTTCAAGGGCTTTACATTGTCTTTAATAGTTGCTCTGACTCCCTCAACCACCACTCCACCTGAGCACCCCAAGTGCAGGCCCTAATTATCCTGGATGAAAATAGAAGTCTCCTCATCATTTATTTATTTTTAGCACTTGCTCAAACTAATTGGTAGCCCTGCAACCCATACATAATACAGTGATCTGGAAGAAACTGACAGCTACTTAATGACGGATGATATTGTACTAGGACAAAGCACGCGAGGCTTACTCTGCAGCAGGGGCTCATATGACTGCGGTCTTCTGGAAGTTCATGCTTTCTTACACATTTGATCTTCTGAGGATAGGACCAAATTTACACAGTGAAAGTTCAAAGAGGCCAGAATCCTCCTCTTCTGCTACCTTCATTTGGCTTTCGGTGGTGGGCTGGTCAGACTTGAGCCTTGGGAAAAAGGCAGCTCTATACTATATTTAGGAGGGTCATATCCTTGAAAAGCCTTCAGTATCTGATGGGAAAGATTGGGAGAAGTCAGGGAAGCCCAGACTTCTAGAGGCAGATCCATCTTGGGGAAATCTCAGCTTGAATATTCATCATTTATGTGACTCAGGTAGGTTACCTCAACTTTAAAAGCCTCAGTTCTCTCTCAGTGGGGAGAATAAGACTTTCCTTCTGACTGTTGTGCCTGAGCAATGAACTGCATTGGATTGAGAAATGCCTAAAAGATTAATAAAACATGTTCCTGGGTGTGTCTGGGTGGGTCATGGAGGTATAGTCTTGGGCATTAGACATGACCCTGCAGCCATTCCTCTGTGGCATAATTTCCCCTGCTGTGCTTCTCAGCCACTGTGCATGAAGGGGCAGCTTTGCTCCACCACACCCTTCCAAATGATGTTTCTGCTATGAATCCACCCTACCATATACTGAATCTACTGAAACCATAAATGAAGTTAAACCTTTCTTCCTTTAAGTTGTGGGTGTCCACCAACCAAAAAGCAGATCAATATGCAGCGTATTTTAGAGACGCACTGTGGAAACACAAATTATACTGCTAAGTAAAAGATTAGATATCCAATAAAAATTTATTTCCTTCTTTGAATTCTTATTTTGCCTCATAGAGATTTTTGCATTCAATACAATAATTAATAAAGTGTTGGTTATAGTTCCGCTCTTATAACCCTCATGTGCTAAAGATCCATAAGTTGAAGGTTTGGTCAGCAGGTTGGGGCAGTACTGGGAGGTAATGAAACTTTCTAGTGGTAGAACTGGCTTGGGTGATTCTACCTCACTGAGGTTGTTGGGATCCCAGCCCACCCTTCACTCTCTCTCGTTTGCTTCTCAGCTGCCACGAGACAACTGATGGCCACATGCTTCTATCGTCATGCAGCACCAATGACCAAGGACAAGCACCTATGGGTCTAACCTCTGAAACTGTGAGCCAAATCAGCCTTTCCTCCTTTTAAGTTGATTGTATTAGACATTTTTCACAGTAACCAAAGGCTAATCTAGTGCTTGAAATACAGTAGAAGCCCCCCAACACTAACTTTCTCTACCCATTGATTAATCTTTTGATTAATTTGTACTGTTCTGAAATGAAATAGGTTCCAAGTCTTGGAACAAATGCTTACCAAGCACTTAGTATATGGCAGATATTATTCTAGTTGTTGTGGATTTTGTTTATGGCTTAGAGAAAAGACAAATTGGCAAACAAAACTTCATACAGGTTTGTTTTAAAAGTATGGGAAATACTAGGGTCATATAACTGGTATTTTTAAAATTAAATTCTGTTTCATTTCAAATAAAGCTATATACTTTTGTATATAAAGAATTTTTTTTATCTTTTGACATACCTGCATATTATTCCAACATATGTACACACACACACACACACACACACACACACAATTACTTAGTCATTCTCTTATTGATAAACATCTAAATGTTCCATGTTTTGGGAGAAGAGGATTAGCAAAACTGATATCCTTGTTCCTATGATATAGTAATTCACTTTTGTATCTTTAATTTTTAAAATTTAAATATAATGGACTCAACATATTATCGTTAATTATTTTCATTGGTAATTTGTACCTTTCAATTGCATTCGTCTTTCTTGACTGTTGTTTGGCAAAGCTCATCAGTTCTATTAGCTTTCTAGAAACACTCAGCAAGAATCTCCCTGTATGCTCCTTCTACCCCTTTCCCTGTGCTTCTTCCTGCAGGGCAGCAGGTATCAGGCAGTGCAGGATGCAGATGCAGCAGATGACAGTTGGATTGCTGCTTGCTGTGTGTGACCTGGACATGTATCTGTCCCTTCTTGGGTCTTACCTCTTTGTTTGGAGACTGAGGATGAAAATCCTATTTACTTTTGCATGTTCTTTTTTCAGTTCACCAGGAACATTGACAAGAAATCTCTGAGAGTATCTAAAAGGACTTTAGAGTCTATTTAGATGTCTCTCTGTTCTTTTCCTCCAAGCATACTAATGCCTTCCTAGGCATTTTATTGTTTTACTTTTTTAAAATGAACATTACTTTATGAAGATTATAGGACAAGAAAAAAGAGCAGGAAGTAGGGAGAGATCTCAGGTACCCTACTGTATGCACCCTCTCCCCCTCCCAAGTCTAGCTTTCCCTATTATCAAGAGTCCTGCACTGGGATAATACAGTTATTATAGCTAAACCTACACCACAGCATCATTGTTATCCAGAGCCTGTAATGCAACAGGCCTCCCTCTTGTTGATGTGTATCATGTGGGTCACATGAACTGACCATCACAGTGTCATACAGGGCTAGTGTCACTGCCTCACACATCCTCTGTGCTCCACCTGTTCATCTCTTCCTCCTAAGCCCCTGGAAATCATTGTTTGTTTGTTTATTTTAAAGAATACAAAGTAGTGATAGAAAATAACAGCACTGGAAACAATATAAAATTTCACTAAGCCAAGTAATGGGAATTTAATAATGACTGCTGTATTGCATAATGTTGTCTTCAAATTAGTTGCTCAGATTAACAGATATAAATGTCCAAGATTGGTTTAAGGAAAAAGCAAAACAAAACAATAACCAAAAAGGTGTAAGAAATTCAAAAGAAAAAAACATAAGAATAAAATTTAAAAAATTAAGCCTTAACTGTGCCTTTCAAAAGACCAGTAGAAATCAGCAATGCAATTATCCAAGTTATTCTGCATATATACATAAATACATCATTCATATATCTATATATATATATATATATATATATATATATATATATATATATATTTTTTTTTTCCCCTTCTTTCATTTGCCATTTTTCCTCATCCCAGTTTTTCCTTCCCACTGAACAAAGTTTTTCCCTTTCACAGTATCTATTGTACCTTTCAGATTGTAATTACTCTTTTGTATTCTCACACTAGTGAGATAATACAATGTTTGCACAAGTGGAGCTGATTTATTTCACTTACCAATCTAGTCTCTAATTTAACCCATTTATCTACAAAAGCCTCAAATTTATCTTACCATTGATTTTTTAAAACATGTCCCTAGATTTTTTTGTTATATGACTTAAATAGTTCATTTAATTATGTCAAGGAAGGACCTTAAATACCAATTTAAAAAATAATTCAGGTCTACTTTGAAAATAATGCCTTGACAGTTTCCAGAACAGTCATCAAACCAGTCATCCCCCAACAGAGTTTGAAGTTTGATGATGCACTCCAAGATGCTGTGTATGATGTCGCCCAGTATCACTTTGGGATTCTTGATATCTTGCTGTATTTTCTGTCACCCACTGGCAGTGAATTCAGCCTGTTAGAAATGAACAAGAGGGGCCAGGGAGATGGCTCAGTGGAATAAGTGCCTCCGTGGCAAGTGCAAGGGCCTGAGTTCAATCCCCGTTTCTGAAAAAAAAGAAAAGAAAAGAATGAACAATAGCTTAGAAAAGTTTTCCCAATCATGTGACATCTTCTAGGATTTTAGCAATAAAGAATGGTACTTGTGCAAGTCAGAATCTGACACCAATTCGCTGGTCAACAGTTTTGCCAATAAACAAAAATGTGCTGCAGTTGGTGGACAAGTTCCAAAGATCCAAGGAGATCCCTAGGAATCTGTGCTCTGCATTTGCAGAATGCCATATAATTGGAAATACATAATATGCTCTTTTGAAATTTGCACATTTCATTTACTAATATGCATTTAAGATACCTAAATATCTTTTTCACAGCTTAAAAGTCATTTCTTGTTAATGCCGAATAATAGCACTTGCTATATGGATATACCACAATTTATTAATCCCCTCAAAGAGGACATCTTACTTGCTCCCAAATTTTGACAAATATAAATACAGCTACAATAATTACTTGTCTAGAGTCTTCTTTATAGACATAAATTTTCTACTCATTTGGGTAAATACCAATAATTACTGAAGTGCATGGTAAAGACATGTTTAGTCTTATAAGAAAATGTCAAATTTTCTTCCAGAGACTGGCTGGATCTATTGTGCTTTCCTACAACACACAGGAATGTACACACCCTCACTAGCATTTCTTATCACAGTGTGTTGATATGTGGCCTTTTGTTGTAGCTTGCAATTCCCTGATGACACATGATGGTGTACATGACTCTTTTAATTTTCTTATTTTATTTTACTGACTTTTGCTTTGGTTTTCTTACTAGTGTTGCCTCTCCATTATAAAAGTAGCATTTGCCTCGTAGAGTGACCAGCAAACAAAGAAAAACATAACTGTAAACATGGAATCTAGATTTAGAGTTTTCATTTGTGTTGCCCAAGATTGCAATTTGTAGCTAGAAGTCATGTTGGTGTAAAATTAGTGCTCAGGAATGTTTATGTGACAGACCAGAATACCCCCTCAACATTTTGGTTCCAGGACCCTATAACTCTTTTGTTCCAATGCTGGAATTACAGGCTAAGTCACCTTGCCTGGCAGGACCTCACAATTCTTAAAAAACATTTAGAACACACTCTAGAACTTCTGTTTATAAAGAAAAAATCTTTAACCATATGAGAAATTAAGAATACAATTTTAAGCACTTATTAATATATTCAATAGCATTACTAAGCTTATATGTTGACACAAATATACTTTTATGAAATAAGAGCTTGAAGAATGACATTGACATCTGTAATTCAGCTCATTAGCAGATTTCTGTGTTCTCATACCTGCTTCTGCATGCAATCTGTTATGATATTGTTTTAGTTTAAGTGCATGAAGAAAATGTGGCTCATACACATGTGTTACTGAGGAACAGACATGTCATTCTAGAAACCCCTGGCAAGTATGTTGGAGAGCTCCAGGAACTTTTGGACCATCCTTTGAGAACCATTTGCAGAGTGGAATGTTATCTAGTCTGCACATTGTCATATTCTTGGCTTGGCCATCAGGTTTCCACAAACACGACTTTCACTCAACAGCAAACACTTTGGTGAAATGAAGGGATGGATTCGGGTGGGAGAAGTGACATACTGAAATTCTCTGAAGCGCACAAAGTCTTGCCGTGAGATCTGCTTACAACTGTATCTGTCTCTATAAACAATGTTTTCCTACTGAGAAATCAAGTTCTGGGGGATGTCTTTTCTAAAGTTATGCTAGAACTTGTTTTCTGGATAGATCTTATTTTCAGTGAAACACAGCAGCAGTGCTCACTAAGAGCAGAGTGTAGAAATGGAGGAACTGGGCTCTGTGGTGGTTAAACTTCATTACATCAGCTTGATCAACTTGAGAGCCAAGGAGGGGATTATAAAAGCACTCTTCTAGGCATTTCATGGAAGCAGGCATGATCTTGGATATTATATCTGATCTTTTGTCCCTTTATCTTTGGCTCTATTTCCCAGCTCTGCTTCACAATTACCATGAAGTAAGTAGCTTTATTCCACTATTAACCTTCATCTCTTGGAGTCAGGTGACAATGGACTGAACTCCCTGAGACTGTGAGCCACGTTAAACCTCTACGCATCTAAGTTTTGGGTGATAACTATTGCATCCTAGTAATGGGAAGCCTGACTAGCCCAGGTTCTGCTTCCAGCTCTGCCATATATACCTTTGGGTGCATTAGAAAATGGCTTAAACTGTCTACTGCTCAGTTTCTTCAGCTGTGAAATATCCTACTTTAATGTTCTCATGAGGATTAATAAGATAAAACACTTCACATTTTAGCATCATGCTTAGATGAAATGCTTTATAAATGTTCACTCATAAATCAACAGCATCTGATTTCTCACTCTGATTAATATTGGATGAGCATTCAACTCAGCAGCAAGACTCTTCTTTAAAAAGAAACCAAGAACACAGACACATGTAATTGTTGGTAACTAATGGTTGTTTACAGTGGATTTTGAAAAAGAACCCTACATAACAAGATTTTCTTTGAAAGAACACTGTCAGTGACTGTATCTGTAAAGGTAGACAGGTGATTTTCTAAGTATTTTATCCAATGTCTACAGTTTTTTTTTCAAAAAATAGTTACATAGCTAGCAACTCTATGCCTAACTTGAACCTCCTTTCCTCAATTTCTCACATCATTTGAGTGAACTAAGTAAACTTAAACTAGAGAAACACCACCAGGAGATGCAGGTTTGTTACCAATACTTGACTTCTCACAATTGATGACAGATCTGGTTAAGTAGCCTCTGAGAGGTGTTTGGATAATTATTGCTGCTGAAATAGCCCCAAAATAGGGGGTTGGGAAGGAAAGATCATTTTCAGGCTGGAACCCATGGGCATGAGCTGTACTTCTATGACCACACACTGAACTATGTCCATTCTGGTGGTCTTGGATCTGGGTGATGAGATATCCTGTTGAAACCAGGGCATCTTCTCATCAAAGTAGATGTGCTCAGCTTGTCCAGAGGTCAGAGACACTGAAGAAGGGGCTGGGGAAAGGCAGAACAATTTTAGGCTCAACTTCTGCTCCACTCCAAGGTGAGTCTGCAATAAGACTTTGATTCTGTTATGGTTTATGTGTATTTGTCCCCTCAAAGCCTTATACAGTCACTGAGGCACAATTCTACAGATTGTGATTAATTCATGATCCAAGGCTGGGATTATGGGTCTGAGTACTGCTGGGATTATGGGTCTGAATACTGCTGGGATTATGGTTCTGAATGCTTCTGGGATTATGGGTGTGAGTTTTGCACCTAGCCTGGGGCAGATAGCCTGAATGTAACATAAGAGAGACAGACTTACTCTCTATTGCCATTGTTGCTGCTACTCCTCCCTTCTGCTCTCACTGTTTTGCTGCCTTCTGCCTCCATGAACTACTGCCGCCTGCCATGTGCCAGTCTGTCTTGGAGCCAGATGAGTATGGACTGAAACCTCCAGTAACTGTGAGCTGAATAAATCTTTCCTTCCTTCATTTTGGGTGTTGGGTATTTGTCCCAGCAACGAGAGAAGAGTAACTGAGACAGCACCTCTCCAGTGCTCTCCAGAATTACCTGCGAATCTGCAATGTGGCCAATACTAACTGGAAACCTATAAGAAAGAGAAACTTGAGACAGTAGTTAACCTAAGACAATCTAAAATAGTAGTACAGGTTCAGACCTTGCACATAATCAGTTTTTATCAAGGTTCCATTTTGGCTTGAAATGAGTTCTGTTGGCAGCTGCAACATTCGGTGTGTGTATGTGCAATCAGGCTTGTTGACTGTGCTCTTTAAGTTTTCTGTGTCCTCACTGACGTTTTTGTTAGCTTGATCTATTAGTTACCAAGAGAGGTAGATTTAAATTTCAAATTGTTAGGAGAGATTTGATTTGTTTATCTCCTTAAAGTGCTGTCAAATCTTTGCTTTATATTTTCAGAGGCTATAATATTACATGAACTACACTATTTTTATTATGTTGTTTCATTGTGTCTCTGGTAATATTTTTTGCCTAGGGACCTATTTACGGAGCAGAGATAAACTCGGAGAACAAAAGCGAAGAGCCATGAAGTTACTTTTATTTTTTTACTTATTTATTTTACATGTTCTGTTTTGACCTTAATGATGATGACAAGGGAAAAAAAGAAAAAAAAAAAACCCAACTCTTCTCTGTGAATTATTGTAAACCTCTCATCACATGGTACACATGCCCAGTTCACTCTGCCTGTGTGGTACAGAGGTACAGATATTTAGTAGAGAATATATTTAAATATGACCCAGGGTTAAATACTCTGATGACTAGAAAGAGAAAAGGCTCCCAGCCTATGTGAATTCCAATAAATAAAGTTCCACACAATAGGCTCACTCAACAAAAAGTAGAAAACCTGCACAAATTAAACAAAATGAATGATAGCAGAAACAATAGTCAGTAAAATCACATGCATAAGATTTTTGATAATAGGATGATCAGACAGAGTTGGTTTGTAAAGGCTGATTAATAATACACTTTAAGAAATTAAAAGTAGCCATACAAACATGAGTAGCTACAAGAGACCATAAGAATGAGCAAATTGGCTCTGAAGCAAAATTGAAGAATGCTTCTAGAAATTAAATTTACAACTTAATTTTTAAAATTCATGACATTTGACAGTTGTTCAAAAGTTAAACATAGAATTACTGTATAACCCTATAATTAAACTCCTAGATACATATTTAAAAACCCCACTGGAAGTAGTCACTAAGATGACTCAAATGTTTATGGAAGCACTATTCACAATAGAAAAAAAGCTAGATTAATACTTCAGTATTAATCAGCAGATAAGTAGATAAGCAAAATACACTATGGTTTAGATCAATGATCTTTACCTTCAAAATTCATATGGTCAGGGGTAGGGATTTTGTAAGTAGATGGACAGTGAGAGCTCTACCTTTGCCACTGAATTAATTCATTCATGAACTTAACATTTGATGATCTTACTGGGAGGTGATGAAGATTTACAAAATGGGGCTTAGCTGAAGGGAGTGGATTGTGGAGGTGTGATCTTGGCACCGATATTTTTCCCCAGCACTTTTTCTGATCTTCCACTCTCTGTTTCCTGCCTGCCATAAAGTGAGTAGCTTTGCTCCAGAACACCTTTGTGCCATAAGGTATTAAAACCACGAGCCAAAATAGATTTTTTTTCTCCCTGTACATGTTTACGTCAGCTATTTTGTCACAGTT